CCGCTCATGCTCTGTCTCTGTCTCTCAAAAATGAATAAACATTAGAAAATTTTTTTAAATGTTCACCCTAAAATTAACACTCTGTAATACGCAAAAAATTCCCTGGGCAATTCAAATACCACCGTGTTTGTGCGTAATTATGTGGCAAGGCTGGGTGCTTAATGAAGCTTACAGGACAGACACACAAAATAAATAGATCCTGCCTGGTCAGTCACAAACTTTTCGCTCATTCTTGCTCTCAAAGGTATCAACTTTTTTTTAAGTTTATTTATTGTTGAGAGAAAGAAAAAGCACAAGTGCAGGAGGGGCAGAGAGAGGTGGAGAGAGAGAGAGAATCCCCAGCAGGCCCCACACTGTCAGCGCAGAGCCCGATGCGGGGCTTGAACCCACAAACTGAAAGATCATGACCTGAGCCAAAGTCGGGCGCTTAACCACCCAGATGCCCCTCAAAAGCATATTCTTTAAAGTCTCATTTATGATTCAACTACTCAGTTCAGGACAAAGAAAAAGTTCCCTGAGGACCCCTCCTTCGCCCCACTCAGTGCCCTCAGGGGCCCCTCTGGTCTACGGCACCTGCACAGACCCGTGAAGCAGGTCTCAGGTTCCCTGCAAATCCCCACAGATGGGGAACATGAAAAGCGTTATGTTGGAAGAAAAAGGTGCAGCATGAAAACAAATGTCAGGAGTGAAGTGTCAGCACACGGGAGGTAAGGGAGCGCTGCCTGAACCAACGCCCGGCAGGCCGCGAGTCCCGCCAGCCTCACACGGACACACCTGTCATCTGCCCAGCACCCGAACACCCTGCTCCTCTCTTCTCCGCACCTCTCTCCCACTCTGAGTAAGCGTAATTCAGGTGACAAAGTGGCATGAGACCTTGGCCTGACCGACCAGATGGGCACGTGACACTCCCAAGCCCGAGCCTTTCACGGAAGTCTCTCCTTTCTCCACCAGGATTGCTTCACAGGCTGGATAGGGGCCCAGGGCCGGTGGAGACAGTCCCACTACCACTCAGGCACCTGCCACACAGGTCAACACTTCAGAAAACAGCAGACTGCTGACCGCAAGCCCGAGGCACCATGCCCGAAGTCTACACAGCAAGTGTTCCAATGATGCTCCTTTCTACTAAAGCCAGATTACACCAAGTCTCACTGACCTGGAACAAACACAGTACCCACCTGGCCCATCGCTGCGCTGTGTTCTCACGCACTTAGTAGCTCTACTCCCACCAGGCTTTACCCCTCTTTGGCTGTTCCATGCCTGGGCCCAGAAAGTGGCTGGGAACTGGACTTGAATTAAATACAGACCAGCTAGGTGGCATCCAGTGAAAAAGGAGCTACAAGTTCACGTCTCTTGAAGCTGAGAGGGTGCAGGTAACCGGCAGAGGTGGAAAGTGGGCCGGCACAGACCAGGAACTGGCCCAGGGCCCAACGTGAGCGCTAGTCGGCAAGGCCCACGGTGGAGCCAGCCGACTGGAGCTTCCCAGTCTTACGGCCTGAATTTTCTCTCAGCTACTACCCCAAGAGGCATAACCCTAAGGACACTCATTCCTGCTGGAATTTACGAAACAGTTTGGGTACTGATTACGGGTGAAGCGGCGGGCTCGATGGCAGCCACCCCAACACCAATTCCCAGAATACATTTACAAACCAAGATCTATGCCGGCTAGTCCTGGAGGTGCCCGCAAGCGTGCCACTGACAGGAGGGCCTTCCGTGGGAGCCCCAGCCGTGAGGCCAACCAAATCCCCAAGCTGGCCGCAGGACCACCCCGGCCCGGAGCCCCGGGCGCCCCGCCGTAACCGACCTCAGGTTCCGCGCACGGAAGCTCCAGGCCCGGGCCCCTCGAGCGGCAGATCGAACGGCGACAAGCCTCGCGGCGGCCCCGTACCCTCCGCGCGGGCCGGTTCCGGCGGGGCGGACGCGCGGCCGAAGCCCCGGTTCAGGCCCGCGCCGCTCGCTCACCTCTCCCCGTCGCCGCGCG